CAACTTATATAAAAGTTACAGTCCATAGATATAATTACAATAATAAAGGTCCATAAGTCTTCGTACTAAATACATTATGTTAAGTTTTACAAAAAAAAGTGAGACTTATATACAAAATAACAAAACGATCATCTAATCCATGCTAGGCCTATTGTGGAACGTCATCCGCCACTTCTTTTTCATATTCTGAAAAATATTAAATAATAGGGTGAGCATAAAACTCAGTAAGTAGTGCTTAAGGCACACCTCTTGAAACCCCATGAATCCACACCATGAATAGCAATAAAAGAACAAGGATCATGCTATGCGGGGAAAATAATTACACAATCACACCAATAACCCAAGTCATGAAAGAAGATGCAATGTCGTGTCGTGCTATGTCTCTCACCATTTTTTTTTCAAAACCATAACCGTCATCATTTCCAAACCGTTAGTGAAACTCGTCCCACGGTGACCCCCTAGCGACACGAGAGGAGGATTGGTTACTGTCCCTGACCCATGGTAACCCCGTGGCTTCATTTGGGGCCCAGATAGCTCAACCACACTAAGGAGAATTTTCCAAGTCCCCTCTAGGCCTCACTAACACCACGGCCCTTCGGTAACCCCTAAGCGACCAGGTTTTTTATAAAACCATATTTGAAAACTTCTTCCCGAAAATCCCGTTTCATTTTTCTCAAAACATCATTCCCATTTCTTCCCAATGAGATGCATGGATGCATCATACCAACATTTATCATTTTACACAAGTTCAAAAATTTATACTACATAACATGCTTTACAAATAATTCCAATAAAACATGATATGCCTTCATTTAACCATAATTTAACATGTTAAGCATATAAAACATGGAATTAATTTCATGTTAAACATGCATCATCATAATTCATCAATTAACTTCTACTTTCACAATCTCACATACAATACTTAAACAATTTTTACAAGAGTTTCCACAAAATAGGCATGCTAGAGCACAACACATACTAGAAAATTCACAAAAGAACAAGAATGCATGAATTAAACACCCCAACCTCAAATGAGAGAAAAAGCCCCAATTTAAGTCCAAGAACCTTAGAATTTCGAAATCCCTAGAGTGCACCAAATGATGAATTGCTTGTACTCACACGTAGATCTCGTTGTGCTATCTGTTTTGCCGCAAACGGCTCCCAAAAACTCCAAGAGATGAGAGATTAATTGAAACTTGAATTTTTGAAGCAAAAGAAAAAAAAAAAAAGAAAAATGAAGAACCAGTGAGAGAGAGAGAAGATCACGGGAAGAGAGGAAAAATGGGCTGAATTGGCCCTTTTGACCACTAAAATCAAGTTAGTGGTGGGCCCCATGGCTTTAAAAAAAAAATTCATTTAACATATATATATATATATATATATATAAACATTACAAAACTAATTTTCTGCACACGAATTTTGAGCCACAAACCCAACAATCTCCACCTTGGCTCAAAATTCGTCTTCACGTGTTCCTTCATAACTCTACCTCGAACAAGGATTTTTTCATAACTCTTCATAGCTCCACCTCAACCGAAGATTTCTCTACCTTAAATAAAGTACTATGATAAACTTGAAAAACACTCTAACAATCCACACATTTTCTAAAGTTCATCGTTCTTCATTTTTTCTTATATCTTTTCTATCCACCCCGTTGGTGTTCAATTAGTCACGCATGGCAACCTACCAATCTTCAACTCATCTTCATCAATTACTTTTCTAGCTCAAAGCAACAAACCTCTCTTCACTCTTCATATTCCCCTTTGCTTTTTATCGGTCTTAGAGCAAATCCCTTCATTCTTTACACCCTTGCCCCATCTTGAGAACTAGCACTCATTCTTGGCTTGTCCCTAAAACTTGTTCCTCGTGGGCTTCATCTCTTTCACTTTTGCCCCATCTTGAAAACGAGCATCATCCGGCTTGTCCCAAGACTTGTTCCTCATGGGCTTCACACCTTCTTCATACCTTCGTGTCATCACCAACTTTGATTGAATCTCCATAGCTTCTCACGATCATCTCTTGCTCTGACAAACTTTGCAGCAATCTTATTCTACTGATCTTCCAGACCAATCACAAGCTCTGACCTACCATCGGCTCTGATACCAGTTGTTGGGGATAATTAACTCCCTCCAACCCACTCAACGTTCAGCTATTGTTGAGAGTTAAATCCCTCCTTCATCACCAACAATGGAAGCATCATCACGTCACATCAACACAAGTATATATGGAGATAGCAATCATACACATCAATGCACAACAGAATATTTTACATGATTCACCCAACTCTAGGGTTACATCCATGGAAGAGAGAGATTCATTATTACGAATGAAGGAAAAAAATATACAACCATATGTCAAAACCCCACTCACTCACTCACTCATCATCTCTTTTAAGGCTACATGTATACACTCGGGAATTACATATACTCTCCCCTCTCCTCACAACACTCACCCTAAAACCCCTTACATCTTTTCTCTCTTCTCTCTCTCTCTTTCTCTAAACGTCTCATACACATCTCTATTTATAGAATCTTCAAACAAATTCCTTGTTGAACAAGTATTCCTCAACTTGCCTATAGAGTGTTACCATAATGATCAAAACTTTAAAATAGAAACATAATGGGATACAATTTCCTCCACAAATTTTAGCCTTCCAAAACGAAAAAGGAAACTAATTTTCTGCACACGAATTTTGGGCCACAAACCCAACATGGTCATAACGTAAAGCTCATGAAATCACAAATTTGCATTATTATCACGTGGAATTGTTATATATTTTGGTTGCTCTGCAATGGGCTTCCAAATGTTTTGGTTTAATATTTATTTTGTTATCCAAAATTAGGCTTAGGTCCTAAGTCACATAAAGCGGGAGCGGGAGTGTGAGAGCGGTAGAATTAAGTCATAAGCAGTGAGAATTTGAGTAAGAGCACGCGCGGAGTGTGAGAGCGGGAACACGCTTAGAATGTGAGAGCGACACTTGTTGAGAAGAATTGTGTGACTTAGCTTAGGTCCATAATAAAATAAAAAAAATGCATAAATAGTCAACCAATGGGGCAACTGCCTCCATTGGACTTTTTAATTTTTTCAATTTTATATAAAAAGTTTTGAGTAATTGTATAATTGCGTCCACTGAAATTCTATAAAATTTTAAAAGACCCAACAATCTACCTTAAATTAAAAAGTAACTTATCTTTTCTCTTCAGGACTCACACCACAAGATTTCAAATATATTATATATATAAAGACAGTCAAAGTAATTATTATATCATTGTCTATATATAATATACACATCATTTTTGTGGGAGATCTTTTGTGTGAAATGATCTACAATGTGTATGGTGGAAATTTTTTTTTTGAGTAGTTCAAATGGCGATTATTACTTATTTATTTTCAGGGCAAGAATATTATATTAGAAGTTAGAGGTGCGAATGCTCGAAACTGGACTCCCAAAGATACTAAGAAGCAACCGCTGGGTTACGAAGGCATTCACGTTAACAAATTTCATATGGTGTTTTGGTCAAAGTAATAATTTAAGATAATCATATAACAAACAAACTTGAACTTTAGGCTAAAATTTGATTATGTTACGAAAAAACAATTCCTTATTTTAAAGGGTAAATTACACGGACCTCCCATATAGTTTGCCATAATTACATGCACTTTCTTTATAGTTTGGAAAATTACTCGGACTTTCCCTAAAAATGAAACTAACCTACACAGACCTCCCTTCTGTTACGATCAACGCAAGTCTATGGTGGATTTTGTTGATGTCATGTACTGAATAAATTAAAATTTTCATATTACCCTTCATTCATCTCCTCTCTCACGCATGTAGATGCATACTACAGTCATTTACCATAACAATTTGAGGGCACTTCAGTAAATTAGACAAATTTGTTAGTGCATTAGACGGTCCGTCACTATGAAAAGAGGTCTGTATAGGTTAGTTTCATTTTTAAGGGAGGTCCGGGTAATTTCCCAAACCACAGAGTATGTTCTTTTAATTATGGCAAACATAAGGAAGGTCTGTGTAATTTATCCACTTTTTTTTTTTTTTTTTTTTCTGGTGTTTTTTGAAATGTTCAATGAATACACATTGCATTACAACCCATTGTATATACACACATAAATCGGTTATTCTTAGTTCAATTTCTAAATACAGTTTTTAGTGTTATATATATATATATATATATATATATATATATATATTTGAGAAACAGAAAACAATTATTAAAAAACGCTTTTAAAAAACTAAACCAACAATTCCTTTTGCCTCCCATTATTTGTCTTACTATTACTGTTTAAGAATCTGTCTACTCCTACCGATGCAGTTCTTCCGCTTGCTTGGCTCTTTTCAGAAAGAGTTGTTTTGTTGAAGTGTGCAATTGGTATCGCAGAATTGGAATTGCAATTCCATTGAATTAGAACAAATGCAATTTCAAATCAATCATTTGGATCAACTTTATAATTCATTTGCAGCAGTGCTTCCACATGCAAAGAAGTGATTTTCTATTTAAAAACTGTGACGTTGAAGTCACAATGGAGCATCCTTCCAAATTTCAAATATTTTATTTTAAGCTTTTGAGAAACAATTCATTTAATAGGAAAACAATTAAGATCATACAAATGAATAATTATATATGATATATCAAAATATATTCCAATTTCCCATTGCAAACACATACGCATATGTATACAAAGATTTTAATTTATATACACACATATATAAACACATGTAGTATATACATATATACATCCGCATATCGACACACCACAACTATAAATACATATACAAACTTGTACACACACCATAAAACCTATACATTCCTATACACACACACACATATGCACCACACACACACACACACGCTATCCACATATATGCACAATACACACCTATATACAAACATTCGTAAATACCCACTTATATATGCACATACACACCTATACAAACAAATATATACAAATATACACCTACAAGCACATTTGCACACAGATTCGCCCAAAACAAAACTCAAGCCACCCTTTATTTCATCTGAAAATTTAAAGGAAGATATGAACACACATATATGTATAATAGAGTTACAGTAGCTCAAAGCCAGTTTACCTGCCAGGGGATGTTACAGATATTTCAAGAACCTCAGAAGATGCCTCCATATTCAGATGTGTATAACAATCACCTGATGTTTTATGGAACATCGCTTGAGCTCCTCCACGATATGGAAGGTCATATTCAGATTAACTTAGCCGATAAATCATCGTACTAGATAGCTTAGTTAATAAATCATGACATGCTTATGATCAGGATCGCCATGATTCGAACACAGGTAGACAACTAATAGTACAGAGACCGTGTACTGAACATGAAAGCAAGGTAGAAAAATTCAAACAGAGGTATATATAATACACAAGGAATTGAATTCCTACAGGTCCATGCCAGAATTCGTTATTAGAATTAGACAAATCCCAGAAAAAGATGGGAGATCCTAATCAATGATAATAGGAGTATTTGAAGACTCGCCATTTACCCTTGCTAGCAATTCAGATGGGAAGTCACCGCGGAGAATTTGAACTCTGAACTTGACATTCTTACTGTTGCATTCCATGAGTTCAAATACACATGCATCTCCTAACTTTAGATCATTGTCAATGATAAATGTCTTCCAATTGGAGTCGAACCTTTTGCCGCTGCGATCTCCATAATAGACCATCTCCCAGTTCTTGCCACGATAGGAGAGAACCACAGGAATTGTAGCACAAGGAAGCACCGGATGCATTTTGGTTGGAAGAAACTAAAAGAATCAAACCAGAACAACTATAAATTAGCTTAAGCTTATTTATCATATAATTGACCCCAAGTGCTATTAAAGAAGAGCTTCCCAACTCTGCATTTTTTAATATTGTGTTTGTCCAGTTAAGTGGACACAAAATGTACTCATAAACATATTTTTACTTGCAAATGGATGACAGAAGTGATATGGATATCATAAAACTGTTGCATAATTTTGAACCGTCAAATTAACCATCAGTTTTCTGAGGCACCAAATATAAAAGCTGGGATAGTCACTTCATGTACGATGTTGAACAACTAAAATCATCTCACTGTTCTTTGATATTGAAATGAATCAAATGATTATCCCATCACTCATTTGCACGAGTTATAAACTTCATTTGATTGAAATCATACAAATCCTTAATTACCCGGGAAAAAAGAATCATACAAGTCCTTGAGTAGAGTGATTACCATTTGATACGAAGGTTTGAGATGTGCTTTTATAAGAACCACATGAAAGGATGGTCTCCCTGAAAGTGGGAAAAATTCATCATTTTCTGAACCAGTTGTTGTAGGGCTTGAAACAGGTTGGGTTTGTAGATCCATCTGGACGTTTTCAACATGTTGGACCTGTGGCTGGGGCATTTTAAGTTCTGTTTCTGGAGCACTTGCCAATGGATGCATCTGAAAAAAAAAAAAACAAATTAGAATATTCCCAAAGTTGCTCTATTTGGATTACATGAAAATATTCATAGATTAAGAATTCCACCAACACAAAAATTTAGGTCGTTCTACCCACAACCCATCATCCAATTGGAGGCCCAAGATGGACGCTAATACATGAAACATGCACAACTAGAATAAAAAATATACAAAGATAATGTCCGTACTGTAAGATATTGTGCATCCTATCTGAAGCTCCCTCCAATTCTGGAGAGAAGCTATTCTAAATGCATCATCATACACATCCCTCTATTAAAACCTACTCAAGTACTTCTATAACGTTGACCACGTTAACAATAGCAGTTTCTAACTTACCAATTTCTTGAGGTAAAGAACAAAACCTAATTTTATTTACAGGTACAGTAATTCCATGTATAAAAATATATATATATATATATTACAATAATTCCATATAATTTATCAAAAAAACATTACAACAATCCCCAATACCAAGAATACAACATATAGTTCCTAATCTATTTCCAGAGTTCCCTAATTATTCTGGATAATACTTAATTGAGTTGAAAGACAGCGAATTCCTGTGCCCACAACATGCATTGTTTTTCTCACAATAAGCCATTCTTAGCTTTTCTCCATATTATCAAAACCAGTTTCCATACGAAGACCTTGATTCCAAATTTAATAATGCCCAAGTAATTCTCAATCCTACATTTTTCATTATGGTCCAGTGACATGAGAGCAAAAAAAGAGGCATGTGAATCTAGCCACTGTGCAGGATAATTATTCATATGCATAGTAAATAATAACATAGAAAGCAGACACATAAGAACCCAGAGAAATCCCTTCCCTAAAGATCTCATTGCAAACCAATATAAAATGAAATCCAATTTAGGGTAAATTACACTCGCACCTCCTTAGGTTGGGCTTAATTACACACGGTGGGTGAAATAGGGCTTAATGACACTGTGTACCCCTTTAGGTCAAGTGTGTGAGCTCAACGACCCACCTCCTATTAACAAACCGTCAGAAAATTTTGATGTAATGACTGATTTCCCCTTTCCCTTACTAAAAAGACCTTAATAGCCCTTTGAAATTCATGAAAATTACAATTATACCCAAACACACACTCTCCCTCTCTCACATCACTCTCAAGAACCCTTCAAGAACGCAAGCATGCATCATCAATGTTCACTCTCTGTCTCTCTCTAGGATCGCTCACACCCATTCCTCCTCTCCTCCCTCCCTCTCTCTCTCTCTATATATATATGGTCATACCCACTTTTGGGCCTAATTTTTCTTTCCTTTTCTGGGAAAAGCAATGTTTTGAGCTGAAATTTCTACAATGTGAAGAGGTGGAATTGGACAACAAAAATGCAACCAAACAGCAAGTGGTGGGGTTGCTTTTAAATTTTTGGGGCCTGTCTGGGTGTGTTTCTATCCCGTTTCTGGATCATCAAAAGTGGGATGTCTCTTCATCTTCGTATCTGCTGTTGAGGATTTCTTTTTATTCTCTGTGTCATTTTGGACCTACTGGCTACTGCTTTGCGTTTTGGATGGGAAATTGGAAATTTGAAATTGTCGTCTAACGCAAATCCGAAGTTCTTGGAATTTTTCTAGTTTGAGAGAGAGAGAAAGAGTCACCGATTTTATTTTTGCCAGAGATTTGTAGGGAAGTTAGAGATTCTCCGATGTCTTTGTTTTATTCAATATTGATTCAAAGTGATCTATTATGATAAATTTAGAAAGGCTTGAGTGCGGTTTACACCCCTATGGTATCGATATGGTGCATATAACCCCTCATTGTTTTGTTCACCTCCCTTATACATTAAAAATGGTGCGAATTAGTGCCTTTTTGCCGTTGACCTCTATTGACCGGTACCGGAGCTACAAAAAGACCAAAATAGCCCTCTATCTATGATTTAAAAATAATAATAAAATAACATAAAATGGATTAAATTGAATTGAAGGTGAGTTGTCAGAATTAAGCTGGGTTAACAAATTGCCTAACTGAAATACGATTCAAGATCTTTCCTAATCGGCCGGCTTTGTGAGGGCTTATTTCTCGAATCCTGTACGGTGAAAAAAGTAGAGGCAAGCAGATATAAGCGGCATAATCATCAGAACCACGCGTCTCCAACAAAAAACGAAAAGAAACCTTGGCAAAGGGGGTTCATCTAGGCAATAATCTAATCAAACAATTTGCATCCCTATTCTTCATCAAATACTGCTTCACCCGGTTCCCAGGCTCGGCCACTGGCACCTGAAAAGCTTTTTGCCCTCTTCGGTCGCCGATTTACTCGCCGGTGGTCTGTACTCTCGTCAAATCTAGAGGACGCCTACAGGACGTCATTTTCCTGGAATTTCCAAGACAAAATGCAGGTAACACACTCTCTCTCCATATTTCGAATTCTCTATCCATACACATTCATATATATGACAAAGTAATATAGGTGTATGTATATTACACTCACAGTCTCAGACACATGCACATATAATTCTTGTTTGATCTGATTTACTATTTGCTAACTTTAGACATTGAATAGTATCTTTTTACCTGTACATAAGAATTAGTGAAAGTAATTGTAACTAGCTTATGAACAGTCCAAGGAATACACAATTGGATTTACAATGACAATATTTTTATTTCAATGATATGCATTGATTTTTCTTGGCACAAATATTACCCAGTTTAATCTAGAGTTTTTTAGACAGAGAGAGGGAAGAAAAGGATAGTAATGCGAAGGGTCCAAATTGTAGGAGGAAGGAGAAAGAAGGAATTCTGTAGGAGGAAGGAGGATGAGAGGCGAGAGACTGAGATGAGGGAGAGAGAGATTAGGGTTATATAAACAAATATATATATACGGAATATAAGAAGGGCAATTTTGGGAATAAAGGGTTTAAAATGGTCATGTGCCATGCACATGACCAACTGACGTCCAATTTCCACCGGAATTCTGACCGGAGGTGCTTAGTTGCACATTTTCATATCTAGTATGGATTTATATAAACAAATTAAACTATAGGCGTGTAATTCGCACATATTTAAAACTATAGGGGTGTTTTTCAGACTTTTCCCATTTAGAAATCATGAATATAGCAGCAAGAATATATATGTGAACTATGATGGTGGACAGTGGGTTTGGGGATTTCAATAGAGAAAGGTTGAAAATAGAGGAATTTGATAGTCTTGGGAGGATTGAGAGGTACAATCAAATTTTGTTTAAACCAAAATTTGATTATTCTTTTGTTATATTATATGGGTTCTGTTTGATGTGCTTATTGGATTTGATGGTGCTGGTGCTGGCAGTTGGCTGTGATTATGGAGTCCCTCAAGCCAATCAAACCCAAAAAATGTAAGAAGTGAAGAAGAAGAGGGCGTTTGGTGGGTTGATTTTGTATGAGTTGTTAGTGGTTTACGTGGGTGGAGAGAGAGAGAATGGGTGGGCTATAGTGGAGGTTGCAGGTGGGTGAAGATAGAGATAAAGAGGGTAATATAGTAATTTAGTTTACAAGGTATTTTTTTATTATACTCTTTTAAAATTTAGGGGTAAAATTGACATTTCATATACATTTCTGATGTCCGTAACCACTTAACGGTCATAAGGGTGGTAAATGTAGTAAAGGCCTATTTGGGCCGCTATGTGTTATTAGGCCTAACCTGAGGGGGTGTGAGTGTAATTTACCCTTTAATTTAATATGAATTGAACAATATTTCTAATCATTTTTCACTAATCGTCTAATCCTCATTTAAATATGCTTCATCTTCGTAATTCTTCTTGCTTAACTATCTTGCATGCTTCTTTATGTATTCTTCAAAGCATAACACACTAACCTAACACTATAATGACTAACTGCAGATATTGAAGACGATTAATAAATACACCAACCAGAAACAAGCATCAACAGCAAAAGGAAAAGCCATTGGTTGCAGTGTCTCTCCAGCAAATCTGAACTTTTGTGCCTCCAAAAAACTGAAAAGCTGAAGAAGTAAAAATAAAAACTTACAATGTCATTACCAAGGGTTTTATGTTTCAAGAACAGAAGGTGGTTTTCACCAAGCCAATCAAATCTTCCTCTCATGCTCTTATGTAACATTTGTCATTCCTTTGCTTCTTGAATTTACAGAGCTTTGTGAAATTATTGTTGTTTTTCCATTCCTCTATTTTATTTCAATCTTTTTCCTTTATTGTAATACAAATTTTAAAATTGAAAACAAAAAACATGTTCGGTAACTATTAACAAGTAAAGAATCACATGAAATGCTACAAGAACGCATCCAAAAACCTTTATGCTGCAAATTATGTCTCATGTTCCAATTTTAATTAGGTTTCTATTTTAGAGTCGTGTTTTATTTAGGAAAATTCTTGGGATATTTGGGCCCCAATGAATTGTAATCTTTTTTTAACAAAGATTTGAAATAAGTACTTTATAAATACATACTTAGGCTTTTGTTTAAGCTAGTGAAATTAAGAAAGATGTGCCTCATGAAGTAGCAGTTAGGTGTATGAGGATTTCAGATCCTCTACCTCACAAGACCAGTAGAGATGTGAATATAGTGAGTAAAATGGCGACAACATTGATGGCAAGAAATGAGTCTGGTAGAGTGTTACACTATGAATTACTCTACAATATTATAGTGGAATACCTCCGTGAACCTAGGTCGGGTTGCATCAAACAACATTAACACTTAATTATTTCAGTCTATCTCTCCATGTGAATGTGTTTCCGCTGTCCCAACAGTTTGTCATATCGTTGACTATTGATCAATCGAAGTCTCTATAGTCTTCTACATTATCTACCACTGCAATCTTCAATTATCAAAAATGATAATCATTTTGACAGAGTAGTCTAAGCGATTTAACCAAACGTAGGTCTAAAAAGGAGTTCTTATGTATTCAATATTTCAATCGAATCCCGTACTTAAGATTGTGTCTGAATCAAAATGAGAGAAGTCTAAAACGCGAGTCAACCAACTTAGATTAAGTTTAAAAAGCGTTTTC